CTTCGCCCTCTCTGGAGCCCTTCTTCCACACGAGGCGCCACAGTTGCGGTTCCCACAGACCAAAATGTTCACATGTCTGCGCCAGAAATTTCTGGCAAGTCTTGTCGCTGAAAAAACACGAGATGAAGCACCTCAGATCTAACTATATACACTCACGGAATTGCCCTCAGTTTCGCAGCTTTAAATGTGGCACGAGAATCATCACAGACAACTATGATTCTGAGTGCTTCCATTCTCACACGTTCCGATGGGGAGGCGCAGTATTCACGAGGCGAGGACACTCCTGCCATGACCGAACAACGAGATTACTAACAAGTGAATGACGACAATCACAATATAGACTATTCTCGCTGTTGTCATAACGAGATCAAAATGATCTCCCATGTGGTTATCGTTGGAGTTCTACCTGTGATATGGAAAACATATTTCACGACCACTGCATAGTGTGAATATCGTTTTTTCACAGAGTTTTACGTCACTTCACGTGAAACGGGTGAAACTCCAATGTTGGCCAAAGTGTAACCGATTGAAATTAAGATATGGTATTGAGATCGCCAACTCGACTTACTCCATGCCTCATCATTAATATAATGTTTTAAATATAAAAACACTTACGAATTCTAGCATGACCACTCCACAGTTAATTCACGCTGATGCGCGAAGCAGCGACAAATAACCTCGTACCACGCCGCACCCGCATCTGACTGAGCGGTCTAATGCATTGGAGTTTCACCAGTTTTACGCGAAGTGGCGTAAAACTCGGTGAAAACGCGATATTCGCAGCCTGTAGTAGTCGTGAAATATATCTTTCACAAGTGTTTCCCATATCAATCGAGTGAACTCCATTGATGAATTAATCTCAACGCGATAATACACGAGCTATACTGAAAACAATAGACTACAAAGAGCCGCCCACTTTGGCAAACAATCAATGGTAACAACATAGTAAATCGATAATTACAAGGGCCGGAAAGGCAAAGATTGAAATCTTCAAGAGAATATAATTTTCCTATTTCTGACTAACATAAGTCCCATAAGGAGTCACAGCTCTTTCTGATGCACAGTGAAGTTGATCTCATACTCGGGTGCTGATCCGACATTAACTCCCAACCAGTATCCATCACCGAGGGGGACATGCTCATTCTGATAGCACACAAGAAATCTGCACGCATGCACACACACTGGAGCTCACCTTATACACTTCGCCTTCACCAATAGTGTCCAGTACGGATGGCGATCGACTCTTCCTAGCAATTTTCCTACACCGTGAAATAGACGGCTTCACAGGAGCGCTACTCTTCTCGTTAGCCCAACTCTCGGGGTCCTGTAAAAAGTAGATAATAATAATACCTCATTATGAGAAACCCTATTTTTCTATCCTGTCTGTGACTTGCAGGGTAGATCGTGCAATTCATGATACGAAAATTCTTATACGAAAACCCCCTTGAATACTATTTGTTTCACAATACACCAGTTTCGTGAATGAAGTTGCATGGCTGCACATGATCATTCCGGCCTGCCCTTTGATCAATAGATAAGGAGTTTCATATAGGTAGAATAGAACTCAGCGTACATTGGAGTTTCACCCTAGTGATATGAAAAACATATCCCACGACCACTGCATATCACCGCGAATATCGGGGTTTTCACAGAGTATTTCGCCACTTCACGTAAAACGGGTGAAACTCAATTTATTGAAGTTTGTGATATTCGCGGCCTGCAGTAGTCGTGAAATATGTTTTTCACTAGTGTTTTTCACATCACTAGGGTGAAACTCCATTATACTGATACATTCATCGTGTTCTGAAAAACCATACCACTATTTGCCCGGATTATTCTAGATTATTATATTTCTTTCAAGAATTTGCATCACACGAGCGCACGCACAGTCTCTGACAGACTCTCAAAACCATGTTTGATACAGTGACGATAGAAATCCAATGATAAACTTCAAAGCTCAGACCTCACACGATGCCTCTGGTAAAGTAACGAGTAAACAATATCATCCCAAATGGCTCACATCTTGATCATCGACACGGCTATAGCCCCGGCCTATCGAGTAGAATCGGGGGTTCCTGATAGCATCCAATGTAGTTTGGAAACTATCCGGCAGACCTTCGACAGTCCACGACGATACCGCTCGGCCCTACCATGAAAAAAATCGCCAAAAAAATAACAAAGCTTCGGCGCTCACCCGAGGAACTTCATCAGAATAGCTAGAATTCGGCGAGAGAAATCCAGCGTTGTTGTCAATGTCATCTCCAAACTGAAAAGAGGACCAAAATATGATCAAAAATTCGGTAATTTCAACTCACTCTGACAGTCATTCGGCGATCGTCTCCTACGCCGTCAACTTCTACCATAAAATTGCCCTTTTTCACCATTTTGTCTTTCAACCGTTCCCTACGCCAATCGATAATCCAAAGAGCAATTGCGGCGACGACCGGGCCCAGAACAGGTAACGTTAAGATAAGTACAGAATATACACTTCCTGATTTACCAAAAATCACCCAAATTAACACACTGAGAATAGTGCTGGCCGTTTGTGGGAATACAATTCGGCGCCATTTACTCGTAAGGGGTGCCAGAAAGCCCAAGAATGAACAAACACCAAAGGCGATGATGAGAAGTATAATGACCACAATCAGCCACCACGTATGAGCGATATCTGATGGCGTAAAGGGACCAGGCAGCATAGGAAATATTACTGCATTGAAAATCACCATTAGGCATTGCAAACTCGACAAAGAAATTCTGAAAAGCCTCCGTGTGCACCAAAGCGGACAACAAACCACAAGGAGTTCGACGAAAAATGAACCAGCAGACTTGTTCATACCCAACCTCAACTCAGTGCAAAGCCACCACGGAGGGCAGCGGCAGCCGCGACCAAGTGGATCGGACTGTTATTCACCGACCATGATAATAGTAATAATTCACCAACCAGCCATGCACAAGGTAGTGACTATACATTGGAATTTCACCGGTTTCACGTAAAGTGGCGTAATACTCCGTGAAAAACGCGTGAATGTTCGCGGTGATATGCAGTAGTCGTGAAATATATCTCTCTCATATCACTAAGGTGAAACTCCTTTACTGCCATCAAAGAATCCACTATGGACCAACACCATGTGATCTATACAAAGTCGATCTTGTGCGGAGGTTTCCTCTTCCGCAACTGTATCGTAAACATCAACGACCCTTCCATCGTCTCGTGCACTCCAATCTTCAAACGATGAGTGTCGTCGATTGGCGTCACCACACTCTAACAAGTGTAACATTCACTTTCTACCATTCCTTACCCGACACACGATTCATCTATCTTCAAGAGATAACATCCCCTAGGGTTCGATAACAAGGGGGAAAATGTATGCTTAAATAATGTGTTCCTAGCCATGGTGAAAATTTCAAAATGAGTTCCTCGATAATTCCCTGGCCTCACCTTCCCTCGGGCTGCCTTCGAGCCCTCTTCCTCGGAGGAGGATTCATCATCAGCTTCTAGCACAGTTACAGAGCATTCTTGAACTGGGCATATGCTGAAGACAGTTTCTCCGTTACCCTGACGATAGCATCTCGATATTTGAGTCGATCATTTAGTCCCTACTTCCCTGGCTAGTGGGTCGGCATAAACCGAATAGAGCCGATGAGTTGCTCCTTGCGGAAACTTCCACGTAGCGACTGAGAGCTCTCCGGAATCGTTCACAGCAGACGTCGACCTCAGCTGAGAAGAACCAATTTTTGGAAAGTAGGATCAACTGCATGTGTTGGTGACTATATACGAACATTTTGGAAAATTCGCATTGGTTTCTGTACACTTCTACTCCCCGAAATTTATGTGTAAACTTTTACAATCAGTGAGGAAATTCCAACTATATTCCAAAACTGCAAGCAACAACGGAGGTGCTTTCGGGTTGACTTCGGAGTGTAATATGTGGAAGTTTGTTTGTGAAATTATGCGTATTCTAAAAGATATGCACTTTTCGCCGTTGGGACTATCAAAATCGAATACACTGTAGATGCTTCAACGTTAAAGTTGAATTTGTCAAAGGGAACTGATCTGACCTGAAAATGCTGTTCACTGGAGGGGAAAAAGAGAGAATTCATTAATCAGCACCAACATACCCGCAGTTTGGGCGGCTTATGCCTAGTTTCATCTGCGTCAAGAATAGTCTCGCCTTCGTCCACTTAAATAAGTCAATCCCAAGAATAGAACCGGGGACCTCTCGCAAGGCAAACATGAACCTTACTGACCACACCAACTCACCCCTCCTGATCTCGTCCGTGCTGGTGTAAATGCCCGAACCCTCGCCCTTTTCCTCGCTCGAACATATTCCAATACAGAGATATAGATCACCGCTGTTACCGGTCCCGAGGCCGGGACAGTCAGCAGCAGGATCGAAAAAACGTTGGAACCGTTGAAAACGAACCACATTAGCACATAGAGCACGCCCGACGCCAACTTTGGGAAAATCGTGCTACGCCATCTACTCCCCTCAGGGGCGACCAAAGCCATCAGGGAAAAGCCCATAAAAGCGAGAATGAAAAATACGATGGTGAGGATGAGGGCCGGCGACCGAGCAACATCGGCTGCATCGAAAGGACCCAGAGTGTAGACTGCCATAACACACAAACTACACATAGTACAAAAAAGATGAACTCATCACAACAACAGTAACCCCTCAACAATCTCAAATTCTGCAAACATAGTAGAAGTCGCCAGGACCATGCTCCCAGCCTACTCTCCTTACACAGAACAACCTCTCCAGAAACATCGTATTGACGTAGGTGTAATATGACAGGTAGATCCTACTACCAACAGCGGCATTAAAATAATGAAATATACGTATTATAACATCATACAAGCTCAACACTGACAAGCACAGCTTCCTCGCCGTCGCAACTCAGCGATTTCACCCAAACAAACTGGTAAAAGCGGTCGCTCATACTGCAAGACGTACTGTGAAATTAACTCGTTGGCTCGCGTAGTTTCCCCACGGTCTTCTCTTCACATAATAACCATCCCACAACTTCTTCGTTTCGCCTCCCTAAACCAATAAAACACTTCAACCGTCTTCCTACTTGAAACTCATGATAATAGAAATTCAAAACATGCGAACTCTTTAATGGAGTTTTACCTGTTTTTCGTTTAGTGGCGTAACACTCTACGAGAAACGCGATATTCGCGCTATGTAAAAAATATTTTTCACTAGTGTTTTTCATATCACTAGGGTGGTAAAATTCCAATATTTCCGATTTTTACACTACTAATATAAACATATCGTTATCATCTACATATTCACAAAATATATTTCACGACTTGGGAACAGTGCTAAGATAGATTTCGATAAACAACAACACCGAAAACCTGGACTAACGGCGCGGACTAAATCAGTTTAGGAAAATGTGCACATATTGGTCAGCTGCGCGTGTTGGTGACCAAAACTTCGACAAATCCTCCGTGCGTTTAATCAGTGAGGGAAAAACTCCCGAGCTCAGGTGTGACAAGCTAACATATATTCTCCCTCCACATGAACTTACCCCAACCTCCTCGACATTGACACTACTACTGCTAAGCTCTGGCAGACCCGCAAACCGCACCTGCTTACTTCGTGGGGACGACGATGCACTTACCTGGAATCAACTCACTCTCATACAGATCCACTTCAGCAGAAGCGGAGTATACCCAAGCGATCACAACACTATGCAAGTCGAAAACTCCACAAGGTAAAATTATCACTATCAAGCGCCACATTCAGCAAAAAATCAAAGAGTGAATTATTCTTCTTGTTATGAACCAATCCAATAATTATAATACTATTCTAGAGCGGGGGTGAAAATTTCATAAATTACATTTTTTGGTATTTTTCCATTTAAACTCGACACCCATAGTTCTGTACTACTCAAAACCCCTTATTCACAGGGCATTCACATGAGGTAGATTCAGCCGACTTGAATGACCAATCCTCATTTCGGCCTCTGCATATCCGTACGGTACGGGACTTACGGTAATCTTAACCGTAAAAGTGAGTAACGGCTCGTAACGTAATTCTGCCCATCTATGATTACGACAAGCCCCAACTAACCTCGGTCGCGAAATATTAAATTCACACATGATAGTGTAATTATCTCCCACTGCTATTCTCAGGAAAATCCTCATAGTTAATTCGGCGCTCACCTCAGAGCCATCATCAGGATCTTCAAAGCCCGTGTCCACAGACATGAATCGTTCCTTCTTGTCATCATCAAAATCATCATCATCCGAAAGCTCCTAAAACAAATTTTTCGAAGTAAGCATCGGCTCACCTACTTACCCGCATACGTATTTCACTGCTACAATCAGAATCAGAACTCCCAGATCTACCCGGTGGTCGCGGATAATCGCGCTGAACCAAAGACGGATAAAATTACCCCACTATAAACGGTTGCTCACCGATCGGTCAATCAGTCGGAATCCATCACCATCCTCCACATCCACGAACAGTGATTCATCTCGCGCCGCTTGTGCCAACTTTTCCGCAACTTTTTTACTGCGTCGTTTCTGTCTTCTATCGCGATACCACAACCACAGAGCCGCAAACATCGGCCCCGCAACAGGAATACACAGAATGAGGACTGTATACACGTCGGACCCAGTGAAGACAAACCACACCAGAAGGCTGCAAAATATTATACCCATCTTTGGTAAGATTATAGCTCGCCATTTACTCCCTGCAGGAGCTCTCAACGCCATCAACGCCCCAAAGGTGAAGAACAACGTCAGTGCCACGATGATAAGGATAAGTATAGGGGACGAACCGATATCATTCGCGTTGTTTCCAGAAGCAACCATTAATCGAAAACTAGCTTGTAGACTAAGCCCTGTGGAGCAGTAGTACTTATCACCAGCTACCATAATAATCACTACTCGCTTTTTTCACCCTAGTGATATGAAAAACATATTCCACGACAACTGCATATCACCGCGAATATCGCGTTTTCGATTATTTTCAAATACAAACACCCGATATTTGCAAATGGAATAAACTATCAACTACAAACAAAGTAGAATTAATATTTTATTACCTTACCACAATTTCAGCAAATCACAAACCGCATACAAAAATTCTTCCGCATCAGCGGGAAAAAAATCCAATTTTCCCACCAACATGAACAAAACCACTCTCCAACGGAAACAAAGTTCACCATCAACACCAACATGCGCCCTTTTTCTCATCGTTTATGCCATCTAGTAGCGCGACTGCGAGGTCCCTTGTGACCGGGTATTTTAGATATAGTTTGCCGTAGGTCTTGAAACAACGCACAGTTCTCCTCCAGAATCTCCTCACACGCCGGGTTAGCCGCTAGCAGAGCCCTCCCAATAGCTAGTCGGATGGCACCGCTCTGACCTGAGGAAAGCTCTTCATATCATCACATATCAATCGATGAAAAACACTAGTGAAAAAACATATTTCACTCCGCGAAAAACGCATGTGCGCAGTGAATAACGCGTAAAACATGTGATGTGTTTTACGTGATATGCAGTGATTTTTCCGGTGTCGTTCGCGGAGTGTCTTCAATTATCTCTACATCATGTTTTTCACCAGAGTATTACGCCATTTCACGTAAAACGGGTGAAGCTCCATTGTTGGAATATCCGTTCAGTAACCCCTTCTCGTTGCAAGAGTTTTCTTCACTATAATACTTCGTGTGAAAAACGCGAATTCGCTGGAGTTTCACCACCCGTTTTACGTGAAGTGGCGTAAAACTCAATGGAAACCGCTATATTCGCGCTATGGAGTAGTCGTAAAATATGGTTTTCACTAGTGTGTTTCATATCACTAGGGTGAAACTCCCTCATAAAAATCAACCCAAAATGAAAACCAACGAAATTTTCCCATTATCGTCCACATATGCATATTTTCCCACATAAAAATCAACAACCAACTAACACATCTATGAACTC